ATGTAAGATGGCATGTCCACATGCAGAAACTGACAATTTTGTTTTCATGAGCAGAGTGCAAGCTATTAACTGAAGCCGCTTGATCAATGCTTTTGCTAAACCATTTTGAGTATAGACATGAGGAACATGGTGTTTAACATCAATGCCCAATGTCATGCAGTAATCATCAAAGGTTTAAGATGTAAATTCACCAACGTTATCCAATCAGATTGACTTAATGGGGTAATCTGGGAACTGTGCTCATAACTTAATTATCTGAGCAAGAAGTCTCACAAAAGCTACATTTCGAGTAGACAAGAGACAAACATGTGACCATCTGATAAATGCATCAACCAAAACCATAAAATATCGAAATGGTCCACATGATGGTTAAATAAGCCCACAAATATCCCCTTGAATTCTTTGCAAAAACGATGGGGATTTAGCATCAACCTTTGGTTGTGATGGTTTGATTACCAATTTCCCTTAAGAACAAGCCTTGTAAGGGTTATCATTTAAGATAACAATGTCTCTGCTCAATAATAGATGTCCATTAGAGTTGGTAATGATCCTACGCATCATGGTGGATCCTAGATGACCCAAATGGTCATGCCAAAGCATGTAATCTTTTGAATCAATGAACTTCTGATTCATAACAGTATGTGAATCAATTGTCCTTATGTATGTATAATACAATCCACTCGACAAACCACGCAAGTTCTCCAATACACGTTTCTGGGTATCATTGGAGGTAACGCATAGATACTCCACATTTTCTGCACTTTTTGTTTCAATGTGGTATCCATTTAAACGTATGTCTTTGAAACTCAACAAATTTTGAGTAGATCGAGTATCATACAATGCATTTTGTATGGACAATATTGTTCCATTTGGTAACATAATTTGGGCTTTCCCTGAGCCTTCAATTACATTTGATTGGCCTGATATTGTTGTTACCCTTACTCTTGTAAGCATCAAGCTTAAGAAATACTTTCAATCACGAAGTATTGTATGTGTGGTTGAGCTGTCTGCAAGACAAATATCTCTGCCATTTCTCATGTTTAGAGAATAACCATAGTTTTTATCCATGCTTTTTGAGTAAAGGGGATCACAGTTAAAAACAACTTATAACAGGAAATTTAAATGCCACTTTTATTGAATTGAAATGCTAGTTTTAAACTACAAGTTCAAAATAATAAAAGTACATCAAGCATAAATGATTCAGTCAGGCCGATACACTTCATTCCCCCTTTCCACAATGAAGTCTGAGACATCTAGGTGGGTTATGTTCAACTTTCCTGATAATTCGCACACTGGATCAGGTATATCCATTAGTTTAGCTTAGTCGAGGAAATTAGGCTTGACACCCTTCTCCTTGAGGGATGCTTGATATAAATCCACCAGATGTTTTAGGGTACGACAGGTACGCACCCAGTGTCAATCGCCACCACACCTATGGCATGCTCCATCAGAGTTTCTAAAAACCTTGTTCATACGAGCTTTGCCTTTGTGGTGATTTCCATTTTTAAAGCTCGAGCTTGAATTTTGCCTTGGAACCTGATTGTGAGACTGAACACCATGGTTCTTGCCTTTCCTGTTCCACCGACCTTGCTTGTGGCCACGTCCTTGTTTATGATTATCGCCACCAGAGGATGTGGCGTTCACTTCGAGGGAAGCAACATTCACTTCTAGGAATGGTGCAAATCCAGTAGGTCAGGATTGATGATTTTTATCAGTAGCTCATTGTTTTGTTCAGCTACCAAGAACACATATATCAGTTGGTTGTATTCAGTGAAGCCTCGCGCTCTATACTGTTGCTGCAGGAGCACGTTAGAGGCATGAAATGTGCTCAAAGTCTTTTCCAGCATGTATTCCTCAGTAATGGTATCCCCACAGAACTTCATCTGAGAGGTAATTCTGAACAACGCAGAATTGTACTCAGCCACTGACTTGAAATCCTGGATCTTTAGGTGAGTCAACTCATAGTGAGTTCTTGGAAGAATTACCGTTGTCTGGTGATTGTATCTGTTTCTCAAAGCCTTCTAGAGAGCTAACTAATCTTCAACCGTTAAGTATTCGCTCTTTAGTCCCTCATCAAGATGACGAAGAATAAAGATCATGGCATTCGCCCGATTTTGAGAGGATGAGATGTTCTCTTCCCTAATGGTATCTCCAAGATTTCCTGCTTGCAGATGGATCTTGGTATCCAGTACCCAGGTAAGGTAATTCTTCCCAGTAATGTCCAGGGCAGCAAAATTAAGCTTTGCCAAGTTCGCCATTTTCTTATCTAAAAGAAAAATGAGATGTGTAAGAACTTGTAATAATGTGTATTCTTTGAGGAATATAGTGTTAGAACTTCTAACTTTTACAAATTTTTCATTTTGATATTCAGGCCAAGAATGATAAGCACTCGAAACTTCAGGTTCGAGATTTTCATGATTAATGAGAAGGGCGATTGTACCGCATCATTCTCATCGAAACAAGCATAGGATGTGCGATTATTTTGTACCACTTAAACAGCAGGAAAATTTAAATACGCACAGCAGGGTGAGCGATTATACCGCACCACCTAAAATTGCAATGAAATTAAACAGCAGGAAAATTTAAATATGCAGGGTAGGGTGGACGATTATACTACCGCTTCACCTAAAATTTGCAGTAAAATTAGATCTGCAGCTCAAGATGGGCGATTGTACCGCACAATCTTTGATCGTAATGAAAATTAAATTTGCAGTTCAAGATGGGCGATTGTACCGCACTATCTTGGATTGCAGTTAAATATAAATAAACACTGGGTTAATAATCAATAGCTACACCAAACAAGAAATCAAAGATATATGTAACTGTTAGGTTGAGAACTAAAAGTAGGCATGGTGCAAACAGTTCTTCGCGAGGGTATGTCCAGTAGTTGAGGCAGAGGAAGAAGATGAACAGTAAAATCCTTAGAGGAAACATTTTTTTTCTTTCTTTCGGTGAAGGTAGATGGAAACTATTTAAGGTTAGAGAGTCGTGCTGATAACTTGTTATAAATAGGCAAAAGTTAAAGAGATAACCTTTCTAAGGATAGGAGCAAAGCATGTGTAAAATATCACACTATAACTTTAGTAGCTATAACACAAAAAGGATGGTAGATAAAGAGAGGGGAGGATACTAATCTTATTTCTCTTGCTTTCTTCCACAATGCATTTGATAACAGACGGAGTGCTCTATTTATAGAGAGACTCTCGTAACTACAACCATCCACAAAATAATGATGGTACTTTTGAAAGTATCAAACACTATTCCTAAGTCTTGTTCTTTTTGAGTAGGCATTCATTAATCCATCAATTTTACAACATCTATATATAAAGTCAACCATAAAATGAATAATGTTTTTTGGTGTCACAAGCTTCAACAAAAATATTTGGACAAAAATGTCCCTCAAACAAAAAACTTCAAAAGTAGCCTAATATAATACATCATATAATGCATGGGTATTTTCATCATTTTAACAGTGTTTTTTAATAATTAATTTTGTGTACAGTTTTTTTATTTTATTTTTAAACTAGTACCTTACAATAGGCTAGTAATAATGTAATTCAATCAGCTGTTCATTAAATATATTTTTTCTCTATTTTTCTCTATTTTTAAACACGTTCAAAATATCTTAAGAGGTGTGTAATATCGGTTATAAAAAAGATATTTCGCACACGAATAATAATATGATTAAATTAGTTGTCCAATGTTTTTTTTTTAAAACAAATAATATTATCTACACTAAAAAAGAGATGTAAGTTTAGCCTTATAATATATTAGTAATAATGTGATTCAGAATAATTGAGTACTCCGATGAAGCTAGAACATACGAACTTATAGATCTTAATAATTTATTCGTGTGGTGAAGGCAATGTAAATGAAAGGCAAAGAAGGAAAGAACGTTCTAGCTTCATCAAGTACTTCAAACTTTCTTGACTACAACTTCAAAATGATTACAAGATTACAGTATCTTGACTACAACTTCAAAATTATTACAAGATTACAGTATCCAGAACTCTCCTCATATAGCATCTACAACTCTCGGCATTGACACTTGACAGAACCACCCCAACTTCCTCAATCTTTTCACTGACTTGCAAAATCTCTTTCTAGATCGATTTAATTTCTAGAGGTATGTATTATTGTTGTCCGTTGCCATTGCAAGTCAACAAAATTGAACATGACACAGGACTTTTGAATGGTAGTATTTAATTTTGAAAAGGTTGAGAAATTAAAGCGAATTAGAGAGATTTTGTAATGTATTTTTAGTATTCACAAATCTCATATCTCTTCATGAGATTTCGAGAAAATTGAATCAAAATTTTACATAGAATCTTTACAAATCAGTTAAACTCCATACAAATTCATGAATTTTTAAATCCATTAAAATCTCTAAAATTCTCAATTGAATACACATTTTTATTTAGTTATGCATAATTAATAACGGTGTAAACTTTAAATCAAGTGGAATGACACATGTAAAATTAGTAAAGACAGACACAATTGAGACAAATAATTGGGGACAGCATATCAACCCTCAAAAATCGAGCAATCCTCTCAGAATCTCTTGCCCTTACTTCTCAGAATCTCTCAAAGATAGAAATACATGTATTATATTGTTTCCTTAAAACGTAAATGCTTCTATAATAATAGTGGAAATGATTGTTGCATTTGCATCACGACATAGATTTGAATCTCGTCGGCTTTTTAATTTAACACCTATGAAGTGATTGACACAAAAAGAAAAAAATGGATATGCTTCAACATATATAGTCTACGGCGGAAAATCCTATCCTTATTATCTCACTGGAAAACTCATTCAACCTAATCCTCAATTCAAGAAAAGAAAAGGCTAAATTAATTATTTTAATGATGCTTAATAAAATGAACAAACGTACGTGTCCGATGTTACATGTTCCGCAGAGTGTGGGATTGTGATTCGTGCAATTCATTAATCTCCAAGTTAAACAAAACAGTGGATGGTTTCATGGAGATAATCAGATCCATGAGCCAATTACGTTTTAGCTCTATATAAGTCTTCATGAGAGGAGCACCATAGAAGCACAACTCCAGGCTCCAGCTGCTATGTATACCCTTATTGTTTTGTTATCAACATTAATTAGCTCCAACTTCTTGCTACTAAATAAAACATTCGAGCTGATGAAGGTTGAGGTTGAAGTGATCTCCAATGAGAATATCAAACCATCTTCTCCAACTCCTGGCCACCTTCGCCATTACCAATTTTCCTTTCTTGATCAAATGGCTCCCCAAGTCTACAACCCGCTGCTCCTCTTCTATGAATACAATGCCAATATACATCCCAACATCACTGAAATATCCAACCACCTTAAGAACTCCTTATCCGAGGCCCTATCGCTATTCTACCCGCTAGCCGGTCGAATCAAAGACAACCGCTTCATACATTGCAATGACGAGGGCATCCCCTACGTCGAAGCTCGAGTGCTGAATTGCACTCTCTCTGATGTTCTCAGCAACCCCAACCCTGGTGAACTTAACAAGTTCATGCCATTTGAACTTGATGATATTACCAATCCATTACCCTTTGGGGTCCAGCTCAACATATTTCGGTGTGGAGGGTTTGCTATTGGCCAATGCATTTCTCACAAGATTGCTGATGGGTTGTCCTATTTCACGTTCAGCAAAATTTGGGCAGCCATCGCCCGTGGGGAACAAGCCAACATAGACCCTCCACAATTTGTGTCAGCCACACTCTTCCCACCAAAGGAGTTAAATACTGGATTCGATGGAGGCGTTGGAATCACAAAAGATAGAGTGACAAAGAGGTTCGTGTTCAATGCCTCTAAAATAGAGACCCTCCAAGCAAAATATGAAAAAGATATGAAAAGCCTCCAACTAAAACACCCCACGCGTGTTGAGACCTTATCCGCTTTCATATGGAGTCGATATGTGGCGGCCACAAAGGATTGTACCGTGAATAAGTTGTACATGGTGATCCATGCAGTGAACCTACGTCCGCGGTTTAGTCCACCATTGCCTCAACATTCTTTTGGAAATCTTTTTCGTTTTTCCATGACATCACCATTGCGAATCAGTTATGGCGGGCAGGAAGAATGTGATGGGGTGGTGATTGGGGAGGTGCGAGAAGCGATAAGCAAGATTGACAATGAGTACGTGAAGCAATTACAAAGGCAGGGTGAGAAGCACTTGGGTTTGATGAAGAAAGCTGCTGATAATTTCAAGAGAGGAGACATGGTTGCGGTACTTAGCTTCAGTAGCTATTGTAGGTTTCCTCTCTATGAAAATGACTTTGGTTGGGGTAAACCTGCGTGGGTGGGATCACCGGCACTGACCTACAAGAACCTAGTGCTTTTCATGGACACCAAGGAGGGTGATGGAATAGAGGCATATGTTAGCTTGGAGGAGAGAGTCATGGCCAAATTTGAATGTGATAGCGAGTTGCTCTCTTATGTTTCTCCAGCCGGTCGGGTCCTGCTGAGCTGTGGAAATTAATTTCACTATGTATGTGTTATGTGTCACAAATAATGTTACCCTCACACAACTGTTTCCCCTCTATCCTCCCATCCTTTGTGTCTCACACAATTGTTCTCCTCTATCCTCCACTTCCACCGTTAATACTCCTGTTAGATGCTTGCTTTCGAATGAGAAGCCTTATTTGACCACTATGTTTGCTACCCGCCTTGAGAGCGAGTCGTCATTCAGTTAGAGGAAGGTATGCAAAATCACTTTGGTTGTTTGGGTCTATACCGCTTCTTTCTACGGTTCTGATGGTGTTTTGTCTACTTGTTTTGTTAGTATCAAAATTCTTCGTTTGTTGGTCCTCGGGTGGTTGACATGGTTGCTGGTGTTGTTTGTTCGTTTTGTTGGCTGAGTGTTTTTGAAGCAATTTTATGTATTGTTTGTGGATTTTGATGTTGTGAAGTTAGTGATTTGGTTTGTTTTTCATCTGGGGCTACTTTGTATCTTTGTTTTTGGGGCATTTGTTTCTTGTTGGCACCGATGACGAATCAGCCGGCCTGACCAATGGAATGGTGAGGTGTTTGGTAGTTGTGGCAGTGACGACTTCCGCCAACAAAATGAGTCTAATTCAGTCATCATGTGCTTTGCTTGGGCTTCTATGTCCTCTTAGCCTGCTTTCAGCTTGTTTTTATGTTTATCTCTTGTATTGTCTTCTTCTGTCAATAAAGTTTATGTTCGACAGAATAAAAAATTAATCTCTTCTAGTTTTTTCCTGAAATGCTTTACACTTTTATTGTATCTGCACTCATGTCATGACAAGTCCATATTGATCAATATGTACCGAGTCTCGCCTAATATACATATGTATCCAACATTATATATCTGAAGGAGAAGCTAATAAATTTTTAAAATTCCGTATCACCCCAATAATACAATTGTTTTCAAGTTTCATGACGTTGGAAAATTAGGCATTTACTATTTTAAAAAAGTTCGGCAAACTTTACAAATTTTAGTGCGAAGGCTGAAGAGTGGTGTGGAATGGATTCCTATCTAGGAGAGATTTCTTTCAAATCATTTTGACAAAAAGATTCTTAATTATTTTAAATTATTTTGATTCATTGTTTATTAAATTGAGATTATTTGTGTCATTTTGATTTTTATTTAACAAATTTTTTTTTTACAAAATGACCAAAAGGATTGACGGTGGAAAAAATTCAAGAACCATTTTTATCAATTTTAAATCTTAAAAATTAAAGTGAGGAGTTATGACAATCATTTTAGCAAAAAAAATCTACTTTTTCCTTGCAACTACCAACTCAAAATTTGAAACATAGTTTTGCATGTGTGTTGTGTTCACACGTCTTACGTAATTTTTGCCCTTTGTGATTAAGTTAACGTTATTATTAATGCTGTGTAATAGCTGAAAATAATAATAATTATGCATTGGAAATTGTTATTGGCATTCCAAAAATCTCATTCTACACTCCAAACTTTATATATTTGTAAAGAAAAATACAAGTGTAAAATAAGATTTTAGAATGCCAATAACACTTCTCTTATGCACTCTAATACGAATTTGATTTCCACTAATTCTTCCCTCACTCTCTCACTTGGGAGTCTTTGTTGTTGTTCCTCCTAACATTTAAAAAGTATTAAGTAAAGCGAATCCAGAAGTCCCCACCCCCTACTAGCCTTACTTTTTTTTTTTTTTGGAAACTTACTAGCTTTAGTTTAGTGATCAGTCAATCTCACTCTCTCCGACAGCCATTGTCTTCTTTAATCCCCCCAAAATACACAAGTACGCCGTCGTTTCACCGACATTATGTTTCCTTATATATATCATCAGTTCGTCACTCATCAGCATCTCACTTTTCTTGTTACTATAAAGCATTAAACTTCAATCTCAGAGGAGATATGTATACGGTGAAACAGTCCACCACTGCTACTCTCAAGTCAACCGCCGCCGTTGACCCGCCTCTTTAATCCCACAAAATACACAAGTACGCCGTCGTTTCACCGACACTCTGTTTCCTTATATATATCATCAGTTTGTCACTCATCAGCGTCTCACTTTTCTTGTTACTATAAAGCATTAAACTTCAATCTCAGAGGGAGATATGTATACGGTGAACAGTGGCGAAGCTACAGAGGAGCAAGGAGGGCGCCCGCCCCTCCTCTCGCCAAAAATCAAGCCCAAAAGCGGTGGTTCCGCCCTTCTGGTCCCGTCGGAAGTTATGGCAACTTTTGATTTTCTGGGTTGCTGTTGCTGCGCTGTGCAGCAATGTTCTAAATTTTTATTTTTTTCTAAAAACCCTTAAACAAAACGACACCATTTACTTTAGTGATTAAAAAAATTAAAATATTCTTTAACTGAAATGACGTTGTTTCGTTTAGTGATTGAAAAAAAAAATTAATTAAAGGGGGAACGACTTGTCCCCACTTACCTCCACCCTCACTCCCCCGTTCAGTCCCCTTCCCTTTTGAAAACCAGGGAGCCCAGAGTTGTGTGTGCCCCCAAATCCCAGGCACACTATTCAACCCCCCTAAATCCCAGCCGTGTCTGCTCTAATCAACTGTTTTGACCACACATCCCACAAACATGTTTGATTCGTCTCTTTACTCAAACAGGTAATTCTTAAACTTTTTATGGGTTTTGAAGATTTATGTTTTTTCTAATGGGTGTAAAGAAAAATTGAATTATGGGTTGTTTTAATTGTGTTTGGATTCTGTTTCTCAAAACCATAGTTTTATTTAATTGATAATTGAATATGAATAGGAAAGGTTGTATTTTGTTTGCTGAATGAAAAATAACATAAGGACTCTTTTTTGAAAGGGACAAATATTAATGTTGAAAACACCAATATGAAGTCCTTAGGAATTGGATTAGCTGAATTTGGAATTCCGCTGCGATTAGTATAATGGAAATGGTGTGTATTTTTCGTGCAAGATTGTTGCTTGTATTTTGTTAGGTTTGACAATGAAGGTATTGTGGATCTGAAGGTGCCATTGGAACACTTTTCGATGTATCGTGAGTGGCAGGAGGATAATGTCCAGAAGATGAGCAAAAGAGAGTTTTGGTTTCACAAGATTAGTACTGTCTTTGTTGAATAATTTGAGTTGGTTTGAAGAAATAACTCAAGCTTTTTGGGTTAATTCCCTTTTTTCAATGTCATTATGCATCTTGTAGTTTTTCATCATCTACTTGGCTTTTTTGGTGCTCTTGTTGGTTAAACAAAACCACTGAATTAGTGGATCATAGTTAAATCTGATTCTACGAACTCAATTAAACAACTTCAAGGAGGTAACCAGTTTAAGGATGTCTCATTGAAATTCAATTATTTCTTCAAGTGATCGCCTTTTATCCTTTTACATTTCACCCCTTTCTCCGATAATTCCTGACTTCGCCACTGCATCTAGGTGCTATATTATGATCTTTATTTCATGTTAGGTCTCATAGGCTGTTTCCGGTGGTAGGATCTTACGAGTTTAATATCTTCAAATACCAATTCTGATCTTGACAGGTTAACATCCATACAGACACCTTGAATGAGTCTGGATTTGTAGAGCATACAATTGCTGCATTTAAAGGAAGAACTATCCATACTTACCACAGGTATAAATCACATTCTCGGTCTATTTGATAAATCGGCAATTTTTCTTCAGTCTTCTACAAGTTCATGACCACTGTACTGTGTACACAGAGGAGGCAAAACTTTTTTCGGTAGTTAAGGGATCACACTGACTACAGTTTGAGATCGTGGCCGTTTGGTCACATCTTGACATTTATCTAACCATTCCTGCATACTTGAATATTTTGAATTTTTGTACCTATGTTTTTTGCTGTGAGTCTTGAATCTTGATGACTTGTCAATATGATTATATTGTTAAGTGATGAGTCGATTTTATACTATATATTTTATCATATTCTTAGTATTAATTTATTGGTTATTTTGTGTGAACTTTGATACTTTGTTATGTATTTTCAATGTAGGACATTCGACTTCTTCTGGAGCAAAAAATAGTCAAACGGATGAATTTTGGAGTGATTCCAATTGAAGGATGTTCGTGAGTCTGTTGACTTGATCATACCAAAGTTGACACACCCCGTCCCGAAGGAGGGCGTGCTGGCCGTCACGTGAGAGTGACGTAACCATTTACACAGTTCGGAAGCTTTAAAAAAAAAATTCCAATTACTAAGATAACACACCCGAGGGTGAGTCCTACTTTTGTGAATTCTGTCAGAACACCGTTGGATTCCTCGTGGCCACCAAAGCTCTGCTAACTTGAACCTGGAGGGGCGCAAAACAAAATTGAGTGGGTCAGTAAAACAAAGTTTTTCGAAGACTTTTCATTTAAAACATTTATAACCCCTCACCGTAAAACCTGTATACTTTCCCAGAAAATAGCATATATATATAACATATATATAAGCAAAAAGCTCAAATCTCAAACCTTTAACACTTTTCAGAAATATATATATATATATATATATATATATAATATATATTATATATATATAACCATATGAAATCTCAAAGCTTGAATCCCAAATCTTTAACATTTTTCAAGAAAAAACATGCCATGCCATAAATCAAAATATAAATCAGGTGAAATAAAGGAATCAATCGGAGACCCTGCAGTTGGTCCTATACGATTAATTCAATAGCTCAATATCTCACTAAGCCGGAGTCACCACAGTGACCTATACGGCCCTACTCTGCACATCACTCGGAACTACGTAAGGTAGTCTATACGATGAAAGGTGTAAAATACGCTCTAGTGCTTCTCTCATCATATCATCAGCGCGCATATCTAAGGTCACCCACCAGTCGGAACCCCTCTAATGGTCTGTACGACTGGCATGTCGGAACCCTCACATGGTCTGTACGACATCCACCTACTTGGATCCAAGGCGAGCGTGCGGTGTGGTGAATAATATAAGCACTAACACCTAGGGTGCAGATTATGAGCTCAAACATCTCAACAACAACAATTCAATGAATAAACGAACTCACCTGACTTACCTGTGCCTCCACAGCACCATGCAACATGTATGCCTCATATATCAATCATATAACTCATATGAAATTCACATTTTCCAATTAATTCTATGCATGGCATTTTCAAAACATAATTTCGCATAAAAGCATTTTTTTCTGGGAAAAACAATAGTATATAGGTAATACGAAAACAAAACTGCCCACTCACCTGGAGTTCGCCCACAACTCCCTAGCACCGTACATCAAGGCGTCATGACGATTAGCGCCTAGAACAACAATCAAATCCAACCTCAGAAATTCTGCCGATAGAATACATAACTTATATAAGACACGTCACTACGTAGTTCGATCCGGATGATCTGCAATTCAGATTTCAAATCCGTAACTTCCAGAGGTCCACAATATACCTCTAGGACAACATCCTAAAATTTCATTACCATCCAACGGTCGGATCTTCGTCAATTTCCAAAACTAAGTGACGGTTAACATTCTATTTTATGAACTTACAACTTCAATTCCAGAAGATCCGTAAATCGGATTCCCAATCCGTAAGTTCCTATAATCCTCAAATATTACGTATTACAACGTATCAAAGTTTGATGACGATCCAACGGTCGGATCGTCAATTCACATTTTCATCTAACCACGAATCGTAACCAACTTAGGTTCAATTATTCAATTTACGTCCATCAATTATCAAAACAGAACCTAGAACCTTAATCACAAGCTAATAATGACATTGGCGGGCCATTGGCCACGCGCCGCCGCGCGGGCCGCCGCGGGTGGCGGTTGGCCGCCCCCGGCTCGCCGGAAAATTCAACTATTTCCAAAAATTACCAAAATTTGCAGATTTGAAGATCTCAATGAGTAGAACAACTTTCATACCTGAGACCAAGGCCAATTTGGCCTGGAAGTGCTTCAATTTCACCAAAACCGTGAAGAACCCTAGAATTTGGGTGTTTCCAATTCGACCTTCAAACTTGTTCCAACGCCTCAATTACCTCTTGGGCTTTGTTCTAGGTCCTAAAGGAATGCTAAAGGTGTTAGTAATTGAAAGAAAACATTTCAAAATTTGGAGAATTTAAACAAAAGGGTCGCGGCACCCGTAGGGGTGTTCTTCGCGAAATCACAACGAAATTCAATGATTCTTGGGGTGAAACGTAAAGAGGGAAGGCCTAGATGATGATTAGGAGTGGTACCTTGACTCAATTCGTCGGAAATTTGGACGAAATCCATCGAATTTGGGCGTGGGCACCGCCGGGTCGAAACGACCCACGGGTTCTCCCCAACCCATTTCCTCTTTTCCTCCGCTTCTCACCCTCTCTCCCTTCCTCCTTTCCCTGTTCCGATTGGTCAGTTTCTTCCCCTCTCTGCCTCTGATTCGCTCTCTCTCCTTCTTCTCCGATTGGGCAGTTTTTGCCCAATCTCTCTTCCTCTTTTCTGTTTTCTGGTTCTTCCCACGCACACACCCACACAAAACTTTCATTTTTCTCATCCCAGCCATCCATTTCAAAATCCTTTAATCTGGGCCATCCAAATTTTAATAAAAGAATTTCTATATTTTACTAAAATTATAATTCCTTAAAATTCCAAATTTCAAACGTTAATAACTTCTTCGATATAACTCCAAATCACGAACCGTCTGCGCCCACACGTCCGTAACGACGAGTACTACGAGGATATGCCAAGAAAACAAATCTTAGATGGCACGACACAACGATTAACCTCGAATGATGTGCGTGCCTCGAAGGGCATTTTTGTAAAATCCTTTATTAAAACTTTAAAAATTCTTAAAATTAGGGACGGGCTGTCACAATCTACCCACCTTACAGAAATTTCGTCCTCGAAATTTACACAATCTTTACAATCCATCAATATCCATGAAACAGCCCGAAACACATCTCTCTCATTCGATTCTTTGATTTCTAAGTAGCTTCTTCCACTGAAAGATTCCTCCATAAACTTTCACCAAACTCATAGTCTTATTTCTCAGTACATCATCTTTCTAATAAAAGATAGGCACTGGCTCCTCATCATACGTCAAATCCATATTGACTTCCAAAGGTTGAGAAGGTATCACTCGTGAAGGATATGAGGTTTAATGTCGAAGTATCGAAACATAAAACATATCATGCCCTTTCATCGGCTCTGGAGGCAACTCAGCCCGTACGTAACTTCACTGACTCGTTCAATGATCACAGATGGTCTGACGTATCTAGGACTTACTTGTTTTTCTTTTTTTAAAACGAATCATACTTTTCCAAGGTGATAATTTCAAAATCATTCGATCACCTACATATACATCCGGTCAGTGGCATGTTTGTCTGCTAAGCTCTTCAGCCGATCCTGGCCCACTTCCAGGTTAGACTTAATTACTTGAATATTCCGAATAGTCTCATCCACTAACTCAGGGCCTTGAATACTATCCGTCCCCAATTCTAACAATTTCGAAACACAAGACATAGCTTTACACGGCCTTATGGCGTTACTCTAGGGAACAAACTGAAGGGACCAACATACCCAAGAAGTTTAACAGATCCCAAATCTCTTTTTCCATAAAACAAACAAATAAATGTTGCGCTTGTCTGGAAAGGTTGGTGTTCTCATACTGAAGTAACATACGTTGACGTCACCAGCCGATCAATTATTATTCAAATTCCAACCTAACTATTTTGTATACGAGGAAGCTTGTCCACGAAATCCATAGTAATATTCTCCCATTTCCACCGTGGAATGGGAAATGACTACATTATTCCAAAAGACTTATTTCTTTCTGCTTTAACCTGATGACTGATGATACGCCTACTAACATACTTCGCCATTCCTCTTTTCATACCCGTCAATAGTACATGAACGAACGGTATGATAAATCTTAGTACTTTTGGGATGCATTGTAGAAGTGGAATAATGTACATCGTCAAAATTGCTTTCTTTAATTCCACACCATTAGGCATAAACACTTTGTTCTTTTGCATAGGCTTGCCATCTGATTCTCTAACTCTAAGGTCCTTCTTTTTCCCGTTATTCCTTGCTTTAAATAAATTCTTGAATTTCTTCGTCAAACGCTCGAGTATCGAGTACGATCTACCAAATGGGTCCAACTTAGAAATTAGCAAGTAAGGCTTCTTCTCGATTTTTGATACTCAACTTTACTCCAGTAGATTTCAAATCCACAAGAAGATGAACATAGCAAGCGTACCAAGCATTAAATTAGCAAGTAAGGCTTCTTCTCGATTTTTGATACTCAACTTTACTCCAGTAGATTTCAAATCCACAAGAAGATGAACATAGCAAGCGTACCAAGCATTAATTCTCACTGGGGTCTTCCTACTAAATGCATCAGCCACAACATTAGCTTGACCACCCTCGTCACACAATCATAATCACTAAGCAACTCATTCCACCTTTGTTGCCTAAGATTAAGATACCTCTGAATAAACAGATATTGGGTACTCTTTTGATTTGTAACAATCATGCACTTTTCTTCCCATAAAGACATTGTCTCCAAATTCTCAAAGCAAAGATGATAGCTGCTAATTCCAAATTATAATTAGGGTAATTCATCTTATGAGATCCCAATGGCCATGAAGCATAGGCAATCATCCTACCATGT